CAGACCTTGGAGTGAAGTTGCTCACATGTCCACCATTACTGAGACTGGAAAGTTGTATTCTCTTGTCTTTATCAGCAAAATGGAAAAATTCCTGCTTTTGTTGAGGTAAATCACAATTGCTGATGATCAGATAAATAAGTGCTTTGTATCAACAACATCTGGATCCTCCACGAAGGCATGTTGTCAAGGTAGATTTTACGTTATGGTTTCAATTGTTTTGCGTTATGGTCACAAAAACTGGAATTTATGTAACTGAGGTTCAATCTATGTGACTTTATTGAGGTACGAGGATTGAAATTTTATTCAAGTCTTACTTTGAGGGAACTGCTAGTATTTTTTGCAATACCAAAACTGTCACCTGCCAGCAACGTCTGTCTGAATGAAAACATTTTTCTCCAGCGGACTCTAAATACACTCTGTGCAAGGCTCTGTGAGTCAGTTAAGTGAGGGTTCACAGGGCAAAGTGGGAGCCAAACCTTGGAGCACACTGGTACTGGCTGCTTTTTATCCAGCAAATACTGGTGGGCTCCAATTACTCTATAAAAGACCTGAAACAAAAACACTTAGTGTTTCTAAGGACTCCGGCTTGACCCAGCTCACTTCACCTCGGTTTATACTGTCTATTGAGCAGAATCTCTTCCAAAAGTCTCTTGATCTCCACAAGCATGAAATAGTGAATAACAAGTTTGTTATTCCCAAAAAAACAAAAAAAAAAAACAAAAAAACAACCTCTGATTGTAACTTCTAACACTTACAAAAAACTGAGCCACAAGTTTCTTTAAGCTTGCCTGATGACAGGTTGCTTTGACCTTGATAACTCAGCTCAAAAGTAAGGACATTTATATTTGGTCAATTATTTCTTTGCCGTACCAATTTTTCTTTGGCAATAAATCCTGTTACGTTGCAAAGTCTGCTTATTTCCTCTTTTTGGGGGACACATTTGCCACATTTGCAAAGGAAATGCATGTGTAGGTTCAGCAGCTGAGTTGCGAGAGGTTTATCTGACGGTGGAGAACATAGATTATTAGCCTTAGGCATGCTGTTCCTGTCAGAGTGAACCGCACAGCCACACTGACCGACTCGCAACAAAAGCTTTTTGAAGAAAACGCAGTGTGACCAAAGGTAGAGGTGCCAGGCTGCTTGTACGATTCTCACACTCATTGCTAAGACCAAATGTTTTATAGCGGTTTTCTAATCAAATTAACCAATCAAATCACTTTACACCAGAGCCACATTCACCCAGTCACACCTACAAACATGCTCACATTCATACCAATTGATTGTGGTTGGTAGGCAACTTGGGACACATTGAGAGATCTAAGCTCACAACTTTTGGATTGCAAGATAAATGCGCTACCTGCAGTCTGTCAGCAATAGAAAGAACTCCTGAATCAGGACTGCGATACAGGATACGTAGATCTGTAGGCAAGTTAAGAGGGTTAACTTTCAGATCACAACTCATCAGACAACTACTCTTCCCAATAAGTCACAGCCACCCCCACTAGCAAATCGGCAAATAGCCCATATGTTATGTATATGCCAACTTTACTTATAAAGCACAATTAAAGACAATCGCTGTACAAGAAAAACAACAAACAAAAGATTTATAAAAAATCTGGAAGAAAAATGAGAAATCACATTAAAACGGTGCAACATTACCAAACCAATATGTTTTTTTGTTTTTTTTTTACTTGTTTGTTAAAGCTATGTCATTACAATCTGTTATGAAACAGATAATCTGTGAAAAGATCGAGCTCCTCCACCATCCAAGTATCAACCAATCGGAGTCAGGAGGAAGGTCTTAGCGCTGTCAATCATTCTTGTGAACGTGCCGCTAAGTGTGCTAATGGTGGAGAAACAATTTATGTTACAGGAAAACTGTTTATCAGTGGCCATGCTAACTATTCTGCTAACAGGGAGAAGGTGTTTCATAGCCAAGGCGAGGGAGCGGCACACACACGGTGACATTTTAAATACTTTTTATAAGTTACATACTGCATCTTTAAATCTGTCTTTAGTTTTGCTTTAAAGTTGCAGACTGTTCTTAAGCATCTTCATTAGTGATCAATCTTTAATGAAAGACCTTCAGGAAGAAAAAAGCAGATGATCTAAGAAATCCACAAATAGACTGTGGACCAAGAAGCTCTGAAATACATATTCTGGGGCCAAGCCATATTTAGTACCTTATAAACAAGAGACAACGCCAAACAATAGTTATCAGCATGAAAAGATGTTCAGCATAGGCAGAAAAGTTTTAGTCAATTGGTAAAGTGAACTGAAATTAATAATGAAACTAATTTATTCAAATTACTTCATTCAAATTGGATTTGAATTTAAATCTTTATTGAAATTATTGACCTAAATCGGATGCGATTGTTTGAATTTTGTCGAGATGAAAATTATTTTGAATTATTATCATTACATAAACAAACTGAGGGCAAAACATTCAGATTGGAGCATGTCTTATTTAAATAGTTCAGGAAAAGATAACATGTAGAATACATCCTGAGTGCAACTTTAGTGCTTGTTTCACCTTCTCATCTTATCCCCAATATGAACACTTTTAAAATATGTTACAGATGCATTTATTCAACTTTGATGTTTGAATTAAAAAGTGAATTTTATGGAGCATTTTTTTTTTTTTTTCTCTAATCAGTAACTTAAAGGTTTAACTTTATTTGACGCCACATTAGCTGCTCGGTCTGATTTGTTTTCTCTACCACACTTTCGTTTTATTCCACCCTTAAGCCTCAGTAGCATCATAAATCAACCTGCAGGCTCAGTGTACAGGAAGCATTTCGCTTGTTTTTCCACCCACCACACTTCTCTACAGGTTTCCCTCATTTGAAACCTGATTTTTGAAATGCCACAAATGCTCTCCGTCCAAACCGCCTCACCTGCGTCTGAACTCTCCCAGCAACCTTTCACCTTTCTGCCCTTCTGCTCCCCCCGGTCAAACTTTCCCTCTCACCACCCTGTGTCTTCATCCATCCATCCAGCCCCACCCCCGAGCTGAAACCTTACTCGCTGATAATTTTAGCAGGCGTGTGACCCAATGTTCACTGACACACTTCTGTTTCACTCTCTCTAACGGTTTGTCGTGGGGTTTTTTTTTTTTTTCTCCCACCCGTCTCTCCCAGGAGGCTTTTCCTCCGGACAGGTGGTGCGTTTTAACCTTTGCACCAAACAATGGCAGGTTATTGACACTATTTCATAATGTGGTGTCTGATCTCGAAGCTATTGATGTAACGATGTCATTATAGCATCATAACCATGTCTGTAATTGAAAAAAACATCCAGTGACAGCCACATCGTGTGAAGTTTAATGGCTTAATCGTCCACATCCCAGTCGTTCCAGCGTGCGAGACATTTGGCAGGTGAGCGATATCCCCCCTCATTTGGTGGCCCGTATTACTTGAGACTTACGAGATCTGTTTCACTGATCTGCTCCTCATACAGCCTCGTTTTAGACCGAGCAATTCACATAAACCGTAACACGCAACCAGCTGTATCAAGTCGGGCTCAGAAATACAGTTCATGTGCGTCTGGAGAGCACCAATAAGCAGCACTGTGTTCTCGCCACCCTGCTCGAGCGTATCTGTCAGCGTCCTGAGGGTCCACAGAGGGAGCTTCCTCTTTGTTAAGGTCAGGGGTCGACCACAGCGGTGTCTCCTGGTGGAAGTTAATGCAGCAGTCCCAACCCGGCAAGCTTTAATTTGCAGATTTACAGGTCAGAGGACATCCAAACAGACTAAAAACTCAACATTTTTTATGTTTGAGTTGAAATTCCTCGACTACAAATGATTTACTTTCCATTCTCTAAATATTCCCTAACAAAAAATAAAAAATGCGACAATTGCAATGAAAGAAAGTGTTAGTGGCTCTCCGATTTAGAATTGCACACCTTCACTGGATGCTGCTCTGCCAATTTATTGATTACAGCTCATTTTAAATTTTGTTGAGGGAAATACATTCCTACTTCCATAAACGACTTAATTTTAGCTTTGAATTTAGCATTTTAGCAGATGCTTTAGAAAACGTTTATTATTTCTGCAGCAGAAGCTCCGCACACATACAAAATCTGAACTCTAAATATTCCTTCAACAAATATTAAAAGGGTTAGCCACCACTTAAACGCATGGTCCTCCATTTTTATAAAATAAATGTGTCTCATCTATCCCAGTAGTTCAACCTCAAAATGTTATGTTAGAATAACTCCAGAGGGTGAATGTTCACAGCATTTAAACCTCTTTTTTGTCACGATTCAACTGCAGCTGCAAAATTTTTTGATTCAGATTCAAATTTATGTGATTGGAAAAAAAAACAAAAAACACAAGAACCAAAGAATTGAGAAGTAGGAGGAAAATGATACAGAATACTCAACATTTTCTCATATAAAAATCTTAAAAACTCATTTTGTTTTCAGACCCTCTGTTTTTTATCAGTATTTTGAAGAAGCCCATATTCTCTGCAAGAACAGCAGGAAGTCTTCAAGTGTTTGTCTCTACCAGATTTGTACATCTATAGCACATGCGCCAAATCCGAGGCCAGTGGGCCAAATCCGGCCCACTGTAGCTTTTAATGTGGCCTTGTAGATTCTAGACTAAAATCTTAGTGCTTAAATATTATGCCATCAATCAAATCAATGCAGTTTTTAATCTGTTTATTGGCAAACTATATCAATCAGTCCTTCTGGTGTCTTGAGAATTATTGTGGAAATTCACACAAAATCAACAAATTTCTGCACTTTTTTGCCCGAATAATTTGGAGTTTATTGCAGATTTTTCTCAAAAATTGTCAAAAACTTTCCTACTTCTTACATCAGCTCTAATTGATGTTTGGTTATAGTCCATGACCTGTTACAGCGAGTAATAAAAAGTCGCAGTTACCGTCATAAATAAGTGCAAATATCGAAAATATTTCCAAATTAGTACCGCAAACACTATTTGGTGCAAAAAAAGAATCACAAAATCCTGGAGGGACTGAAAAGATGTTCAATGATATTAAGAATTAATTGATATATTAACAGTTTGTGAACAGGTTTCATCAATACATTCAGCACAACCGGCCCTTTAAGAGCATTCAGGATCTTAATTTGGCCCAAAACGAAAATGAGTTTGACCCGCCGACCTAGAGACTGGAAATTTGTTAGTTCCTCTTTTCCTTCCTTTACATTTATTCACCACTTTATGCTGGTGTGTCACATAAAGTCCCAATGAAACCCTTTTAGACCAAATCTCAGTATGAATACTGCATTTAGCAGATGAAACGCACTTTTTTTTTTAAAACAGTTTATCTTATTCTCTTTCTCTGAGCTGCAAAAACAAATCTGCACGTCGACCCGAAAACACACAGCACCGCATTCTGCTCCAGATCAATAAATGAGTCATATTATGACAACCCATTAACAGCTCCACACATCAAACCCTCCGAGGCTTTTAATTCCTTCCGGTCGCCACAGCAGAGTTTGCACCTGAGAAAGAGAGGAGTGTCACATCGCTGAAACGTCCGGCTTGTAAACAGCGTGACAAATTGAGATTTCTTATTTATATCTGACTTGCGGGTCTTGGAGGGGTTCATGGAGACGGGTCGGGGGGTTAGAGACTCTCTTCGGGCGACAGGCCAGGAAAATAAGAAGAACCGTGTCTCTGCTTACTTTGTCATTTACAAATTTGTTCACTCTCCACCCAGCTGCTCCGGGGCCGTGACTGCTCATTATCTTGTCTTATAATTCACAATCAAAGCTGCAGGAAGGGACAGTTTGAAGCTGTGAGTCCATTACGTCTGCAGCAGCAACACGCTGGATGAAAATAAGAAAGTCTGCAGTGCCCTCACAGAATAACCCCGGATGAGCGTTTTAACAGATGACATCGTGACATGGCCACATCTCAGCATGTATAGCTAACCTGTCTGCTCAGGTTTCCTGTATATAGTATTTATAACCACCAATACTTAAAAGGCTGCAGGATGAGTGGGAGTACAGGTGCAACAGAGAAATCATTTTTTTCCAGGATATAAACAGGGAAAGGTAAGAGTTCAAGTAGTGACTCAACGTGTAAAAAAAAATAAAATAAAATAAATAATGGTAATATAACTCCTGTTTATTGTTGAGATGACTTTCCATTTACTGCTTTCACTCTGGCGTTGTGGGCGTTATAAAACTGCGGGTCTGTTAATGTGTTTGATACCAAGTCCTGCTTAGAAAAGAAGCACAAAGACAGCAGATGGGGAATACTGATTGGACAAGAGGCCATGAAAAGTAGCTATTGTGATCAAAACACGGAGGACAATTGAAAGAAATTGAGCAAAAGCAACAAACTTCACACGAAAGTAACCAGAAAAGGAAAGACTGGCGAGTCGAGCTGTAGAGAAAGCGGGTGCAGAGGCGGACCATGAGGATGTGGGGATGAGAGAGAGGAGGTAAAGGTAGAAACACCTACCAGGGTCTGCTGGTATCTCAGAGCCTTCCTTTGCGACGCATCTGCAGCCATTGACGCGCTGTCACTGATCCAAAAATAACCCCGCTGGACACCCCAGCATTTCCAACGACGTTGGCAAACACCATGCACCGCGCAGTCTTATATGTACACTCTTCACACCAGGTCAAATAAACACACAAACATCTTGTGCTTCTCGGTCTCCTGGCTGAGGAGAGCAAAACTCTGAGCAGATGAGACGACTGGTGAAGGCGCTCCTCTCCTGATGGTCCACAGGCTGTGAGCGGCCCGGCTCCACTTCAGGACTGACGGACAGAAATGAGACGGACAGACAAAGCAGAGCAAAGCCATCTGATGAGGCAGAGAGGGACACAGCGCTTTCCTTTATTAGAACTGCAGACACCTAATAACACACACACACACACAAACAGAACTTGTTGCTCCTGCAGCACCCTCCCTACCAGCCAACCATTAGATGTGTGTGTGTGTGTGTATGTTTGGATGGCCTGTTCTTGTTTGGACACCGGCGGTGGAGGGGGGTGGTAGCTAGAAGGGCACCCCTCACAGGGCTGCCCCTGCAACGTGAGCGAGAAGGTGCACATGACACCCCCTATGACAGCTCACACCTTAGCAGCCAATGCAGCGAGGCATTCCCCCCTTACCCTCACATGCTGGGGCAGCGCCCTCATCCTTAAATGTACCCTCACACAGCAAACACTCAACCTGAAGAACCCCGCCTGCAAAGCCCTCTGCATGTTCCTGAACCCTGCAGCTGGCGCAGGTAACCCAGCGCAGGAGAGTTAAGTCAATCTGTGCTGTAGAAGACGGAAAACTCAGAGGCCTCGTTTCCTGAGAGACGACATCCCAAACAGACAAACACATCCTGATCGATCTCTAAACTTTGGAATGGAGCCGGAGATGGACAAACCGACTGGGGGCGCTGCTTCGGTCTATTATCGGTCACACAGGGCGGTTGTGGCTACCATCGAGTAGCTTGCCACCATCAGCGTGCGAGTGTGTGCGTGAATGACTGACCGTAGTGTGAAGCGAATTTGGGGTTCTCTGAACTTAATAAAGTACAAGTACAAGCCATTTACCATTTTGTGGTGAAGAAAGAGTCGAGCCAAAAAGCAAAACTCTCCATTTACCGGTCCGTCTTCGTTTTCACCTACGGTCGTGACACGTGGATGATGACCGAAAGAACGAGATCCCACATAAAAGCGCCAGAAATGAGCTCCCTCAGGAGGGCGGTTAGATGGGCTGAGTGGGAGAACCACTGCTTATCAGATGAGGTGGTCCAAGCATTCGATCAGGATGCCCTCTGAGAGCCTCGCTTTGGAGGTTTTCAAAGCATAACCCAGTGGGAGAAGAAGATCCAGAACCTGGTGGAGGGACTGGGTTTGCTCTGGTCTGGGAACCCTTAAGGTCCTCCAGAATGAGCTGGACGATGTCACTGGGTAGAGATGTTTGGGTTTTCATCCGGGACTTGTCGCTCCCATGACCCAGTCGTGGATTAGTGGAAGCCAATGGCTGGATAAATAAACAAAAACGTCACAACATGAGCAGTTATCAAATATCTCACTATGGTCGTATTATACATTAATAATTAATTATTAAATATTTTTTCTTTTGTAACATTTTAATCTCCATCTCCGCATCTGAAGTGAAAAGAAACAGTTTGTTCCTGCAACTTTCACTGTCGTTTTATGCACATGGGATTCGCACTGCAATTCAACTAAAGGCAGCTGGGGGACTCTAACTTTTCAAGTTGGAATCTCAAATTTAGTAAGCCATCTATTTGATTTGATTTCAGTAGAAAACTCTGAGTTTCAAGTGCAACTTGAACGATATCTGGAAGCAACTACCGTACAAAGTAGACCAACAAAGACCTGAGATAAGACCTGGTAGATTCATCATTCTTGAGTTGTTCATTTGCTGCATGGCAAGTTTCCAGCTACCAGTTCAAGGAATCACTTTGTTGCTGCCAAAACACAATTTTATATCCACTAAACTCTGTTCTTTGGTATTTGTCATAGATTTAACTAAAAAAAAAAAAAAAACCCACACACACTCATTGTGAAGTTATCCAACACAACACTGGTTCATCCTTTGAATTCAGTTTTTTAAATATATCAAAATGATTCATCCGTCAGAGGTGAATGGGCTTATAAATTACAAAATTCCTCTAAAAAATGAGGTCAGGTACTTGACTGAAAATGGGTTTGTAAATAAAAAAGGGCACTTTGAAAACATATTGAGACACTATAAAAAAAGTTGGAGGGTTGCTCCTCTCGGGCTAATGAGACAGGCGGCCATTATAAAAGCCACAAAGACGCACACAGATCCCTCCTAACTCTGGCCCGCTTTGTGGTCCACACGCAGGCACATAACATCTTAATCTCACAGCTACATCAGAGGCCAGCAGGAAATGTGTTACTCTGACTATGTGTGTGTGTGTGTGTGTCAGGGGGAGAATGACTGTGGACAGCTGGCTGGGCCTGTATCTGATACACCAAGAACATTATCAGCGGGTGTCGGCGGGCAAAGCGAGAGGTTCCTACATCCCAGTTTGCAGCATGGAGAGACCTGAGCGCAGCGAAATAGTGCGCAGCCAGTTATACTATACTGGAGAACGGAGAGGACAGGCTGTACACAGGCAACAACACGCACAAACACGGCAACAAGGGGGATCGGATACGGCGGAGCACGCACAGGAGCAGCCGGGCTGCATGGTGGAAACTACATTCTCCAGTCAAACTGCCGCATTTTTACAAAGAAAAAACAAAACAAACTTTTAAAATGAAAGCTTTTTTTTATTGTAATGAACATTTGGCAGTCATTGGTCGTGAAGACATCTCCTCAGCCCCTTCCCCCTCTTTAACACAGTGTGGTACAATAAAGTCTGACCTTCAAAACTTTTCACACCAGCTTCTCTCTTTATGTTATATCTCCACTATATCAGTATAAAAAGGAATATCTCTGCTCCACGGCAGAGTAATCTTTAGGAGCAAGGTCATGTCCAGATAGTTACATAGTTTTCCCACAAAACAACACTGACGCAACTGAACATACTTCACCTCATCGAGGCCTCTCTGGGGGGCTTTTAATTGTCGCACAGGCTTTGGAGATATTCCTCTGTGTGGAGGGCGACTACTAGAAAATCTCCACTGTGGTCATGAGTTCACCAAACAGAAAATCCTCACATGGCACAGGCTGCTGGAAGGAAGCTGCTTCGTGTTTATGGAAGACATCGTTTATCCTGACTGCATCAGTTGTAGTAATTTCACAAAATAAACACTACAGTGCTTTGCAAAAGTATCAATACCCCTTAAACCCTTAAATCTTTTTGCATTTTGTCACATTGTCACGACAAACATCAGTTCATTTCACCTGGGTTTTGTGCAAAGCTGTGCTTGTTTGCAAAGTGGGAGATATCATTTCCAAACTTACAAAAGAAACACATCAGGCAGGCCACTGATTAATTTGTGGAGAAGTTTGAAGCAGGGTTAGCTTATAAAACAGTAAGGAAAATAAAAATAGGTTTGGCTAAGCGTAGACATCATCGTTATGGTGGTGGGAGTATCATGCTGTGGGAATGTTGCTCCTCTGCAGGGACAGAGAAGCTGAAGCTAAACACAGAGCAGAAAAACAAAACGAGACAGTCGTGGAAGTTCACCTTAAGCCCTGAACACAACTCCAGAGCTACATTAAAACAATTTAAACTAAAGCATATTTAGGTGACAAGGTTCATACCTGAATCTGATTAAGTGTTTGCGACAGGACGTGAAGGTTTACGAACGCTCTCAGGCGTTTATTTGTAAAACATTTTCTTTCCACTTCCCAATTTTGTTCTACTTTGTGTTGTTTCTTCATTCCAAATCCCAATAAAATACACTGATATCCATGGTTACGATGCGAGAAAATGTGAAAAACATTTAAGGGTATGAATAATTTTGCAAGGTACTATTAAAAAAAGCTCAGGAATCATACTGTAGATGAATAAATAAGAGAGTAGCACCAAAATCCAGCCCATCACCATGTAGTAGGCAGGAGAAGTTTAAAGATTATAACTGAATAAAGACATAAAATAAACATGTATAAAGCTGCATTCTTCCAACTCAGCATTTAAAGCTAAACGAAAAGAATAAATGACCGAAAGACATCCTTCTGAAGATGCCCTGAGTGGATAAAAACATAACCTCTCTAACCTGTTTCTTTTTAAACCTCTTTTGATTTACATCCGTCTGTAAAACCACAGGGTGAGAATATTATTGATCTAAAAGAGGCGATGAAATGATTCGTCTCTGTGGTGCTGCCCTCTGCCTGTCGCCACACTAAAAACAAGTTGTCTTCACAACTCATAACAAACGCGTACAAATAAAAAGCGTGGGTTTAAAAATCCATATAAAAGCAATTCCATACAAAACGAAGCCACAAAAATATATCTGTGTACAAAATACAGGTTTTAAAAAGAGCCTTGAGGAACTTCGGAGCTGCTGTGCAGCTCGACTGAAAAGGATTTACAATTAAACTGGCATAAACACAAATATTTTGCTTCTTATTTCAGAGTCGAAGTGGAACAACATAAGGGAGGTGTGGATGTGAAGTTGCAACGGGGGGAATGCGAGGTAATAACCGGCAGTTCTGTTGAGCTTTTACAGAAAGGCTTCAACACAAGGAATGATCTGTGTGTGGTTTGTTTAAAGTGCGTTTCTGCATATCAATACTGGGGCTGGTACTTGGGGAAAAGGTAGAGGTCTTTGCAGAGTGAGCTGGTGAACTCGGACATCTCTTTGCAGCGATGGTGGGCGGTGCCTGGGGCGTAACCTTCCCTCTCCTTGATACGTGCATTTACCTGGACAGAGGAATAAAACCGGCTTCATGAGCTTTTTATGAGGAAGCAACAGTATGAGTTTATTCTTTTAAAAAAAAAAGCATCTTTCACCTGCACCAGCATGTCTGAAAGGTGTGTGTCTCTGGCATGAAGGCGG